AAACGTGAGACGGAGGGGTAGGGTCAGGGGACAGCGGAGGAGACACAGGAGGGGAACGAGGAGGAAGACGGGCCGGAGACGAGTCTGGCGGCGGGAACACAGGACCGTAGACAGGGAGGTCAGGAGGCGGTGGGGGAGACACCGGCGCGCGGTCCGGGGAGGGAAGGCCGAGCAGGCGGAGAGCGGAAACCGGCGGCGACGGCTGCTGCGGCGGCGACGACGGCTGGGCCGGAACTCTCGGACCAGCAGAGGCAGAACGACCGTCGGCAGAACACTCAACAGCAGCACCCCCAGAACCAACACCCCCAGAGCGAGAACCCCCTCCAACACCAGCGGCACCCCCAGAAGCCGCAGGACGAACACCCTCCTCCACACCAGCACCCCCAGGGGCCGAGAGCAGCGGCGGCAGTGGCGGCAACGGCTGCGGCGGCGGCGACAGCGGCGACGGCTGCGGCAGCGACAGCGGCGGCGGCGACGGCTGCGGCGGCGACGGCGACGGCGGCGGCAGCGGGGTCGGCGACTGCGACAGTGGGGGCGGAGGCACCGGGGAAGGGGGACGCGGCAAGGACGGACCGGGGGTACCACCAGAGTCAGCAGACTCCTCAACGGGGACAACCGACGGGAGGGGAGTGACGTGGGAGACACCAGACGGGGCAGGACGAGGCGGGAGAGGGGCAGGGGCTACCGGGGGAGAGGGAGCAAGGAAAAGGGGGGGGGCAACTGGGAGACCTCGGTGAGGGAAGCGGCGGTAGAAGGAGACGGACTCATCAAAGGTGACGTCACGAGAGTGGAGGAAGCGGTGAGACGGCGGGTGGTAGAAAAGCCAGTCAGACGAGTCCAGGGGGAAACCGAGGAAGACACAGGGGACAGTGCGGGCAGTGAGCTTGTCCGTGCCAGAGGCACGAACGTGAGCAAGGCAGCCCCAGACGTGGAACGCAGACGCGTCACCGGGGGACCCGGTCCAAAGGAGGGTCGGCGAAACCTGCGGCCGCTGGGAGCGTGGCCACAGGTTAAGCTGGTGAGCCGCGTAGCGAACAGCGAACGGCCACAGAAAATGGGGGGCATCGGCATGGATCATGGAGGTACGGGCGACCTCCATGACCAAGCCGATGCGGCGCTCAGCAACCCCATTCTGCTGTGGCGAGTCCGGCAACGTGTACGACTGGGTGATGCCCTCCGCACGACAGAACTGTCCAAGCCGACCAGAGGCGAACTCGCCGCCACGGTCGGAGTGGAGACACAACACGGGGAGACCGCGGTGGAGACGCGCAGCCACAACCCACGGGAGAAGAACGTCGGGCACGTCGGCCTTCCGCTCCAGGGGAAACACCGTGGTGTAGCGCGTGTAGTCGTCGACAAGCACAAGGAAGTAGCGCTCACCGCGCGGTCCGGGGACGGGGGCAGGGCCCCAAACGTCCAAGTGCAGGGTCTGAAGGGGGGCAGTAGCAGGACGCAGCGAGGAGGAGTGAGGAGCACGGCGGAGCCGACCCTCGACGCAAGGCGTGCACGGTGGCGCAGTCGAGGGAGGAAGGGCAGGGAGCGACGCGGGGAGACCTAAGACAAGACCGTGCTGGGACATGTGACGCAGACGCGGGAGAGCAGGGTGACCTAAGCGGTGGTGCCAGAGAAGGGAGGGGTGAGTGAGGGACCGACACGAGCAAGCTGCAGCGACCTGGGAGGACGCACCAACCGGGGGGGAAGCGGTGTGTAGGGTAAACAGACCGGACACCGGGTCCCGGGGGAACGTCGCAAGGGGGGAACCTGAGACAGCCTCAGAACAGACAGCGAACCGCTCGTGCCCGGGGAACGTGGTGGTGACGCCGAGGTCCTGGAGACAGCCGACACCAACCAGGTTCCTGGAGAACGAGGGAACGTGGAGGCCAGTAAGGGAGCCCGAGGGAACTGCCGGACAGGGAAGGGACGTAGAACTGCGCGCGACGACCGGACCCGCAGAGGGGTCAGCGAGAGAGACAACAGCAGGTGCAGCAAGCGGCGTGAGCGTGGAACGGTCGCGGAAGAAGCAGGCAGAAGCACCAGAGTCGAGAGTGAAGGACAGCGACGCAGTGGCGGGGGCCGGGGACGGAGCCGGTGCAGCGACTAGACTAGGCAACCTAGGCAGTCCTACGCCTGTCGCAGCAGGGGAAGCTAAGCTACACAAGGGTGAAACACCTAAACTAGAGTACACAGGGTAGTAAGATCCATCAACACTAGAAGCGTCAGCATACAAAGCATGCAAAGCAGCACCTATCTGATCCATGTCTAACTCAAAGATCGGCACGCCCTGGCGGAGCAGGCTGTGCCAGTCAGGGAGGTCCGGGGCCGGGCCAAAGCGACGACGAAAAAGATCGTCGAGGCGGCGGAAACAGCGGGCGGTCGGGTGCGGGCGGCGGCACTGAGTGCCGCGGAGAGGCCCGGTCTGAAGCTGGTACTGGCAGGTCACAGCACTGGAGCCGCTGGTAGACGCCAAGCTGCGCGGGCCGCCACCACGGCCACCGCCTCCGGAGGTGCCGGGCCAACCAGGCGGGAGACGAGCCCACGGCTGCGGCGGGTGCTGCTGGGACGGCGGCTGCGGCTGGGGCTGGTCCTGCTGCTGCTGGGACTGCTGCTCCTGCCCACCGGTGGTAGTCCCCTCAGGCGGACTACCGTCACCACCACCACGACCACTACCACCTGCGTCACCACCCCTACCTCCCTGGCGGCCACGGCCACCGCGACGCGAGCGCTGCTGCGGGTGGACAGCAGCAGCCGTCTCGGTAAGAGGGGTCGCCGTGGCGACCGCAGCCGAAACGTCAGTGAACGTGCACGGGGATGGGGCACAGCCGTGAAAGATAGAGACTGGCGGCGCACCGCTCGACTGAGCGATAGTGCGCTGGCGAGTCTCGATCTCAGTGAGGGTGTCGACAAAGGCGGTCAGGGTGAGGTCACCCGGGTGCTGGCTAAGAAAGTGGTCGCGAGCACTAGCGAGGCGGTCTGGCAGGCGCATAGCGATAAAATAGAGCGTCATGCAGAAAGGAGGGGGGAGCGCAGTGAGCTGGGCAGCAGTGCTGGCAGTGCGATAGCGAGTCTCTAGGGCACGCAAATGAGTGGCAAAATCTGCGACAGTAGGGAAGGCAGCCAGGTCTGGGAACAGCATCGGAAAGAGCAAGCGGCCAGCAGAAGCGGAGGCAGGGGTGGAATAGCGAGCAATAACGGCGTCTAAATAAGCTTTGGCCGTTTCAACAGTAGCAAAACGCGAGCGCTCAGACACAGGGAGGGCGTGACTAATAGCAACCTGAGCTACTGCATCGCGTGAGTCCCAGATCGCACAGGCCAGCGCAGCAGTAGAGAAAGCCTCACGGTCATCAGAGGAGGGGTCAGCAGGGAGGGGAGTAGGTGCAGGGGGACGGGGGAGCAAGCCATCAGCATGGACAACCAGAGAGTGGCCATCCTGGCGCTGACCTGTAAGCTGGCGGCGAAGATCGGAGAGCCAGGCGGCGAAGTCAACCGCGTGGCCCTCAGCGTCCAGGCGGAGCACAAAGTCAGCCATCGTGCAGGGTCAGCGGCACAGCTCCTCAGCGACACAGCGGCACAGCAGCACAGCTCCTCAGCGGCACAGGAGCACAGCGGCGCGGGGACACGGCGGCAGCACTCTCCAGTAGGGCAGCAGCTAGGCGTCCCAGCGCAGGCAAGCAGAAGACACAGGGCCCGAGAGGACACGGCAGGCCGAGCAGGGGAGGCGGGCAGGTGCTCTGGGGCCGGGCTGGTGCTGGGAGGGGCCAGGCTGGTGCTGCTGGGGCCGGTCGGGCACGAGGAGGGGCCGGGCAGCGCTGAGGAGAGGCCGGGCGGCGCTAGGAAGGGGCCGGGCGGCACTAGGAGGAGGCCGGGCGGCACTAGGAGGAGGCCGAGCGGCACTAGGAGGAGGCCAGGCGGGCGAGCGCTAACAGCAGGCGCGACAGGGGCCAGCGGGCGCGACGGGGCCTAAGGGGCGCGACGGGGCCCAGCGGGCACGACGGGGCCCAGGGGGGCGCGACGGGGCCGAGGAGGCGCGACGGGGACCAGCGGGCACGACGGGGCCCAGGGGGGCCGCGACGGGGCCTAACGGGCGCGACGGGGCCCAGGGGGGGCGCGACGGGGCCTAGCAGGCGCGACGGGGCCTAGGAAGCGCGAAGGGGCCCAGCGGGCGCGACGGGGCCTAGGAGGGGCGCGACGGGGCCGAACGGGCGCGACGGTGCCCAGAGGGGGGGGACGCGACGGGGCTTAGGAGGCGCGACGATGCCTAGGAGGCACGACGGGGCTCAGCGGGCTCGACGGGGCCCATGGGGGGCGCGACGGGGCCTAGGAGGCGCAACGGGGCCCAGCGGGGGCGCGTTAGGGCCTAGGGGTCGCGACGGGACCCAGCGGGCGCGACGGGGCCTAGGGGGAGCGCGACGGGGCCTAGGAGGCGCGACGGGGCCCAGCGGGCACGACGGGGCCCAGGGGGGGCGCGACGGGGCCTAACGAGCGCGACGGGGCCCAGGGGGGGCGCGACGGGGCCTAGGGGGCGCGACGGGGCCTAGGAGGCGCGACGGGCGGAAGCGGTAGGCGGGGGGATCCTAACCTAAGCGTGATACCATGTTAACGTAGAAATGAATGATTACTAGAGGTGGAAACCTAGAACAAATACTAGTTGGTTGTACTCACTAGAAGCATACCTCAGTCTAGCCTATAACTTCTACATAGATAATATGTATAAGTTGACAGGATTGTACCCTCTAAGAACTGACCTAGCTAGCCTAGATAATTATATTTGTTGACAGTTAGCCCCGTTTTTTCAGTTTCCAATGCTGATTTTTCAGGGTACAGAAAAACACCCTGAAAATCAGCAAAATCAGGAAAAAAAAAATCATGAAATCTGAGGGCCTGTGTCGCAATTGCTTTCACTCACATTCCACCCGATTATTGGCAATTCACTCTGTCCTGCTGCCACAAAATGCCCTCACTACTTCAACTGGGCTTCTCTCGAAGCTTGGGGCTTTACATTGGGGCTTTGCCAAGTGATTGGGTAGGTACGGTAGATCCACAAATAACTCCATCATTTGGACAGTTACAATGTACACCATGTTATGTGTGGGACCATCCTAAAGCGCATGCCCTGCCTTGCTGCTGAGTCCTCCTGACGCACTCCCCCTTCTCCCATTCCATCACTTCCTTTTTCTCCTGCCAACGGGAGGGTCGGGGAACTTGAGGGGCACACGCAGCACAGCCACTGTCTCCGTCACACCAGCGGCAGCACCTCCCTTGGCACTCTCGCACCCCATCTCCCTCAGATGCTTCATAAGGATAGGCGCAGCCATCTTAAGGTCGCCTGCCAGGGCAATGAGGGGCACGCGGAAGGATGTGGCATGCAGGGCGAGGGCAGCAATGTAGCTGACCAGCAGCTGCCGCAGGCGCGACGGGAACTTGTACTTCTTGCCGCCCACGTTGTGCGCATCGTCTGCTTGCACACGGAAGATCTGAGGCAGGCGGACCGCCGTGGGGAGAGGCATGCCGTACTCTTTTGAGATGAGCTGAGGTGACGGCAGTGCGGAGGAGGAGAAGGTGGGGCCGGAGGAGGCAGCTGTGCGCATGGCAGCGGGGAGGATGACAGCATCTGGTATGTGCAGCATGAGCACCAGGAAGTGAATGTGCAGCAGCAGCCGCGCATAGTGAGTCTGGGACGCTCCTGTCTTGGTCTGCGGGGCGGGTTGGAGGGGCACCATGATGTTACAGGTGGAGCAGGGTGTACAGGAGCACAGGATGTACAGGGGCGCAGAGACGGCTGGTAAAAGAAATGTGTCAAGGGACAAGCACATGAACGTGCGATACGAAAGTGAACCATATCGCTGAGGGCGCCTGAGAAAGAGCAGCATCCCTCTTAACACGCCACCTTGTTGCTAGTCATGGCATCATCCATCTCACCAGCAAAAGCCCTAGCCGCTCCTTCACAAACGTGGGCAGCTTCTTCAACAGCCGCCGTGCTGCCTGTTTCTTCTCATCACTCATTTCCATCCGCTCCTCCTCCTCCTCTTCCTCCTTTTCCTCCCCCTCCTCTGCCCCACCTCGTCCCGTTTTCTTCTCGCCTTTGGCCTGGCCCTTCAGCTTCTGTCTCTTCACCGTGTACGCATACAGTGCAGCGGCTGCGAGCAGCAACGCCACGTCCGTGCTCTCCCACTCGTCGCGGGGCACCAGGTACGCCAGCGGGTACGCCTCCTCCACCTGCGTCGCGGCAGGGTTGTGCGGCGGCAGGTAGCTCGGCGCGCTTTGCTGCGCCTCCAGGTCCGCGAGTGTGAGGGCGAGCGGCGCCGCAGCAACGGAGCGCACGAGGTGGCCCAGGGCATCGCTGGCCTTGAGCGACTCGCCACTCACCTGCCCTCGCTCCATTGCCGCCACCTGGACAGCGCAGCAGATAGGGGCAGGCCCAGCGCATGTGATGCACAGCAAGCAGACGAGGAGCACGTGGATGGAAAGGAGGACTATTGAGCAAGGAGCGGCGCAACGTGCTACCCCGAGGAGAGAGAGAAGCGGAATATTGAAAGGGCGGTGGATTCGTGGCAGGGTTGAAGTGGTTACCATGCTCTTGCTCTTCTTGCTACCGAACGTTGCGGTGAGCAGGCGTCGCTTGCGCAAGTCGTCGTGGAACTTGGCCACGCTCGAGCTCGTCGACAAGGGCTCCCCCGTCACCGCGCTCGCCGTGCGCTCGTCCACTGCGCCCGCCGCGCCTCCCGTGTGGCGCTCCGCGTCGTACGCCACCGCCTTCACGCGCGCCTCCATGCGCACTACCTGCCCGCACGGTCGGGAAACATCACGCAGCCAAAGAGTGAAGGAGGGAGAGGCACGTTCGAGGGCGAGGAGGGCTGCACATGATGGCAGAGTGCAGAGGGAGGGGAGTTGAACACGTGCTTCCTCCCGCATAGCCTCTTCCATGCCCTCTCTAAAGAAACTTCACGCCGCCGCGGGTTAGAGGCGAGTGCGCTTGGCTCGATAGAGGTGGGAGGATAACGGTGAAGCAGTGAGGCGCGCCAGGCCGCCAAGATGCGTGGGCGCCACCCACATGCATCAGCGACACGCATGTGGATGGCAGATGGCAAGAAACGTCGCGATGCGTGGCGCAACGGTTGCAAAAGCCCGACGGCGCACACACCTTGGGCGCGGCGAGGGGCAGCAGGTGCAGCTCCTTGCTCTTCCGCTTGAACACGCCCAGCACCAGCGACGTGCCCACCTGCCCCGCCGCAGCCGCGCCGCTCACGGCCCCCTCGCCGTCCTCGTGCGTGCGCCCCACCAGCCACGTTGCGTCCGTCTCCCCCAGCAGCACCTGCCGCACGCCGCCCGTCCGCGACGCCGCGCCATGCAGCACCCGCAACTGCACCTTCTGCCCGCCTTCCGCACCTTCCCCGCCGCCAGAGGTGGCGGCACCATGGAGACTGAGCGCGCCGTCGGTGATCGTCGCGGAAGGCGCAACAGCAGATGCTTCCGCCGAAGATGCGGAGATAAATGCCGGAATGGCCCCTGGAGGTAAATGCGCGACGAAGGGAGGGAGCTCAAAGGATTGCCCCTGATCCACTCGAAGGGTAAACAGCGCGCTAGAGTAACTCGAATCCATCGAACAGGTACTAATCAGAATCAGCGAATCGCTGGTTTCTAAGTGTGAGACCCTTCGCACTACTGGCCTGAAGTACCTGTGAACCCTGAACCAAAAACCAGAGTAATTCCTAGAGACTGTGCTTGTGGCCCAACCATGAGGTTGGGCCTCTGAGTCTCTTACTATCACTAAACGGTACAGAACGGTTGCTTACGCTTTCCAGGGCTTTCACACTTACCTCACTGCATGAATTCCCCCCCTCATGTAGCGAAGACACTTTTCCTGCGCAATAGCGCGTACGGCCGTTGGCATCAGCTGCCTAGTTACCACAGCATTCGCCGTTGCACAAATCGTCGACCCGGCCCACGTCAGCAATGCCGAGTCACTCATTAGAATTAGGCCGTATTCCTACAACCTGAGACAGGTATCAAACCTGCGCGAAGTCCAAATGCACTGTACTTAAAACGCGTATTTAACTGTTACACCGCATAGTACCACACACGTCTGATACCGGTATCAGGCTGCCGAAATATACCCTGAGTCTGTAATCATCTAGTCACACTCCGAACTCGTGCGCTAGCTAATTATCCGGGCCATGTCATTAAAGCGTGTGGTCCAAGAACGGCCAATACTTAAAGTCTTTTATTTTTGGTATCTCGCGGAACCCAACATGCATGCGCAGGGTTACCTTGAAATCTAGCGATTTGAGAGAAACCCAGAATGACGAGATTGGGTGCGACGGCGAACGACCACCACCTTTAACCGGGCCCCTTCCACGGGAGAATCAAGGCGATGATTGGGAGCCACTTTCCGAGCATAGAATAAAGCTTTGAACCTTACTGAAGAAGGTTCTCATGCTCCGAGCTAGAGATCTACACCGTGGACAAAGCCAAAAATCTGAAGAAGAAGAAGAAAGAAAGTAAGAAAAATCGAGCCCAGCGCCAAATTTGCGACTCGTTCACCTAGCCAACACTGGATGTTTGCTACAGTATAATATCCAGCTCTCCCATCGGCGGAAGCGTTCCGCGGCAGTATTCGCGAATTAAGGGTGTATGCTTGATTTGGGTTCCTCACTCCCAACATACATGCTTATTCCTCTGAATCGGGCAAGCTGGAAAAGAAATCCATACACTCCTAATCAGGGGCAACCATAATGATATGCCCTTTCTTCCCAAACCACGCAAGGTTAAACTGACAAGTGAAATTCGTTCGTGATTCCCGAAAATGAGTGGGGAGCCTTTCTACAATGGGGGGGCCTTATTCTGAAATATCAATTTCAGGGGCGAGGCTTCTGTAGGGGGGGCTCGCGCTTTCGTTTAGCTCCCCCCCTCCTCCCCCATTTTCCCCCCACGCGCATTTCGGTCGAGTCGCGTACGGGGTAAGTGTCGGTGGCACGCACACCTCTCTTGATCACCGACGCCAGCCTGATTCATTTCGTCCCCCCTTCCCAGATGTTTATTCCTGGTGGCTCCCGAACATCGCCCAAGACTCAAACACCCATGTCTTACTTGGGACTCACGACCATGGCGCCCGCAGCATAGCAGCTAGACCTATCAACGCAGCTAAACAACCCATATTATCGCGATTTAGGGTAAATATCATACATCAACTCTGGGCATTACCATCGGAAACCGCGAAACCTCGCGAATTTCTAGCGCGAAGGTCACTCCCAGAAGGTGACGGCCTTCTCGTCACCCTTCTCCCCACTCGTCGCCCATCTCCCTTCCCCTTTACGCCCTTCTCCCTTTCCCTTTTCGTTATTACTTCCCCTCGTCAATAGGCGACGGAAGCTAGGGATAGGCGGCAGAAGCAAGGGATAGGCAGCGGAAGCTAGGGATAGGCGGCGGAAATAAGGGATAGGCGGTGGAAAGGCGAGAGATAGGCGGCGGAAGCAAGGGATAGGCGGCGGAAGTTAGGGATAGGCGGCGGAAACAAAGGAAAGGCGGCAGAAGATAGGTATATGCGGCGGAAACTAGGGATAGGCAGCGGAAAGGCTAGGGATAGGCGGCAGAAGCTAGGGATAGGTGGCGAAAACTAGGGATAGGCGACGGAAAGGCAAGGGATAGGCGGCGGAAGCAAGGGATGGGCGGCGGAAGCTAGGGATAGGCGGCGGAAGCTAGGGATAGGCGGTGGAAACAATGGAAAGGCGGCGAAAACTAGGGATAAGCGGTAGAAAGGCAAGGGATGGCGGCGGAAGCTAGGGATCGGCAGCGAAAACTAGGGATAGGTGGTGGAAATAAGGGAAAGGCGGCAGAAATTAGGTATAGGCAACTGAAAGGCAAGGTATAGGTGGCAGAAGCAAGGGATAGGTGGCAGAAACAAGGGATAGGCGGCAGAAACAACGGATAGGAGGCGACAGCAAGATAGGCATGGGTAAAGCGATGATAAGATGAGGGGAAAGGAGGGGTAAGGCATAGGGGAAGGGGGGGATTCGTTCCCCCCTCTCCTCCCCCCCGTATCCCCCTCTCCTCCTCCCCATGTCCCCTTCTCCTCCTCTCCGTGTTCCCCTATCCTCCTCTCCCTTTCCCCCTGTCCTCCTCTCCCTTTCCCCTTATCCTCCTCTCCCTCTCCCCCTATCCTCCTCTCCCTTTTCCCCCATCCTCCTCTCCCTTTCCCCCTATCCTCCTCTCTCTTTCCCCCTATCCTCCTCTTGCTCTCCCCTTATCCTCCTCTCCCTTTCCCCCTATCCTTCTCTCTAACAGCCCATACTATCCTCCTCTCTCTTTCCCCCTGTCCTCCTCTCCCATCTGCGCTCCCCCCACCCCCCCTTCCATCTTACTCATTTCCGCTGCTCCCATTGTCTCCCCTTGTTTTCATTCCAACCCCTTGCTCCGTTTCAACCCCTGCTCCCCTGCTCCCTGTCACCTTGATTTTGTCGCCTACAAGGCGGGAGTGAGGTTGTGATGGTGGGGCCTGACTCTTGCCTCTCAGCGCCCACTCTATTCCCTCTCAGCGCCCGCTCTCTTGCCTCTCAGCGCCCGCTCTCTTGCCTCTCAGTGCCCGCTCTCTTGCCTCTCAGTGCCTGCTCCCTTGCCTCTCAGCTCCCGCTCCCTTGCCTCTCAGCTCCCCCTCTCTTGCCTCTCAGCTCCCACTCTCTTGCCTCTCAGCTCCTGCTCTCTTGCTCCTCAGCTCCCGCTCTCTTGCCTCTCAGCTCCCGCTCTCTTGCCTCTCACTCCTTGTCCTCAGCTCACCCGCTCCTTGGCCTAAGCTCACCCACTCCTTGGCCTCAACTCACCCACTCCTTAGCCTCAGCTCACCCGCTCCTTGGCCTCAGCTCACCCGCTCCTTGGCCTCAGCTCACCCACACCTTGGCCTCAGTGGGTTATGACATGCGCAGGGCACTACATGCATCAACTTGCACTCTACCCGCCTCTTCCACGCTCTCCCTCGCTCACACCACCACACTATATTCCTGTTGTTACTCTCAGAGTGGCAGAATGAAAAGAACAAGCGAGTACAGGAGAAGATATAGCGTTGGAGTTGTACCCTCTATGAATACAAACTAGTCTATAACTTCTACATATAAACATATGTATACGTTGACACACCCCCTAGGCTAGATAAGGGGCAGTGCTAAGAAGGAAACGCGCAACTCAGGTTGGCACTACAAGTCCGATCTCTGAGGTAGGGGTCCGAAGACCAGTCAACAAGAGTACAAACTCAACAAGAGCAAACCAGGGCGGCACTACTAGTCCGGCCACTAGAAGAGAAGCCACAAGGCCAATCAAGAAGGTATATATAAAAAGGAGTACACAATCAAGGTCCTAGCAAGTGAGGAGCTACAGGAACTGGACCAAGTTGCAAACAGTGCCGCTGATTATCTTTAGGCGCAAGCGCCTTCGTAAAGATATCAGTTGTGTTGGCACCGGAGGCCAAGTGTACTACGCGGGCCTGGCGGCGCTGCTGTAGCTCGCGCAGAATGAAGTACCGCAGCTGGATGTGCTTCGCTCTACCCTCAAGTCGAGGCTCCTGACACAGGAGGATCATTGTCCTATTGTCAGCATACAAAACCGGGGCAGAGCTAGGCCGCTCACCTAAGTCGGTGAGCAATAAGGTCAGCCAGCGGAGCTCCTGTGCTGCCATGGCACCGGCGTAGATCTCAGCCTTACAGCTAGGCTGAGCAATAGACGAGGAGCGAGTGGACCTCCACGAAACGGCACCTGAACCAAGGCTAAAGCAGTAGCCCTGGGAGGACCTGAGTGTCTCAGCATCGTCTGCCCACGAAGCGTCTCTGTGCTCAGTGAGGACCACTGGTCTGCGTCCTCCCAGCACTAGCCCCATGCCCGATGTACTTGCTAGATAACGCAAAACCCTCTTAGCTGCTGACTAGTGCTGTGGTCGGTGTCTCCCTGTGGCCACAAAGCGTGCCAGGATGCTGAGAGGGTATGCGAGATCTCGACGAGTGCAAGTCATCAGGTACTTTAGGCAACCCAATAGCTCTGCGTAAGGACCACTTGGCTCTACAAACTCCCCACGAAATGGAACAGATAGCATGTGGTCTACTGGCAGAGGCGTTGGCTGTGCAGAGGAGAACTGAAGACCGGACCTCTGAAGGACCTGGCGCACCAAGTATGACTGTGTAAGAGTGATGGTGTGCGCTGCTCTATCCCGGGAGATCTATAGGCCAAGATAGCAGTGCAGCTCTCCTAGGTGAGTGCAGGTGTGTCTCCTCAGTAGCTCAGCCTTCACAGAGGCTAGCGTGTCTCTGTCTGCAGTAGCGAAGAATAGGTCGTCTACGTAGATAAGGATGTAGAACGGGGTCTGGCCAGCACGAATAAAAAGCAAGGGGTCTGCAGATGACGGGAAGAAGTGCAGGTCAGCTAGTGTAGCACGTATCATGTCATGCGACTCATGAGGCGCGTGTCGCAGGTCGTAGACCGGGCGACGAAGGAGCCACTGGGTCCCAGGAGGGAACGTACCGGTGAAGCCCTATGGACGACGCAAGTAGACCTACTCGTGTAGGCTGCCTTGAAGGAACACTGTGGAGAAGTTGAGGGAGTGTAGCTCGTAATCACGCTGTGCTGCTACGTATAGCAGCGCCTGAAGAGTAGTTGTCTTCGGGGTCGGGGCAAAGGTCTGAAAGAAGTCCACACCTTCGCACTGCCTGAAGCCT